TCAACGTACCGGTTCGGCTGGCGGCCTGGAGTCGGGCGAGCTTTTCCTGGTTGAGAACCATATTGAACGAGGGGATGCAGAAGCCGAAACGGAAAGAAAGAGACAAGAAGAAAGGTCGAGACGAAGATGTGGGGGCAAGAACAGAAGCAGAGGACTGGCGAGCTCAGACGACTTGCAGAACGAGCCACGACGACAACGAGCGGCCACGATGGCCGGACCTCTCTCTGCCTCTCTCTCGAGAGAGAGACTGACTGGGTCGACTCGGAGCGCACAAGAGCTGCACGCAACAGCAGAGAGCTGCCGCTTCTTCGCGCCGCCCCCGATTGGGTCGCTGCCGCGGCGTCGTCTGCTGCTGCGTCGTGTGCTGCGCTGCGTGCGTTGGGCTCCAATTCTGACCCCGCGCTTTTCGCTTGGGCACGTTTCTCGGCCGTCTGAGTTTTCGCCCAATTTTCTCTCGTGGGCTCTGCAGCTCAAAGCGCAGCGGGCAAGTGATCAGCCCGGCGCCCTGTCGTGGGAAGAAGGCCGCAGAGACCCAGAGACGCAAAGAACACCTTGCACCTTCAGCCTGCTAGCGTCGGTCTTTCTTGAAGCCTTATCGTGTCCGATGGTGTCAGGTCGTATGAATGCTACCTTGCAGACCTCACTATGGTTGCTGCAGCTGAGTGGTGACAGATTCAGAAAGCTCAAGACTGCAAGACATCCGCCCAGCATGTCTCACCGCCATCACAATGAGCGGGCTGCAGGGAGGACGCCGCAGCTAGAAGAACCTCAGCCTCGCATAGGCATCAAAGAAGCTGCGAGTCTAACAATTGACGAATTCTTCGTGCCGACTCGGACGACTTCGGACCTGCCTTTCTTGCAAAAGCTGTGAGACCGCCGAGCTACACAACGTCGAATCTCGGCAAACGGGCATCTGAAGCCGTTTGCAGCTGGTGGTCGAAATTGAATTGACTCGAATGCTGGGCAGCGACGCCCGAGAACGGCCGCTGAGGCCAAAGTGGCGGGCGGGTTGTGGGTGTAGAAATTGGGCAAAAACTCGAAACTCAAGGGTTGGGACCACTTCAAGAAGAATTCGGGCGCCCCGAAGCGGAGACGGAGAGCTGTGGCAGTTGGGAGCGGGGCCATCGTCCGAGAGAGAGAGAGTGAGAAGGGCGCTTGCGTGCGATGCGGCTTGCAGCCTGCAGTGCGCAACTTGGAGATCCGGATGCCAATCTTCTCTTCCAGCCTACATCACCCCCTTTTGCATCCTCGGCATCTTGCATCGTCAACGCTGGCTCATCACGCTCTCTCCTTCGGTAGCGCTCGCCAGTCGAATTCCAGGCCGTCTACGTTTCGCATCGTTCACATCGAGGCTTCGTCCGTCCATACTCGGTCAGCTTTCCTAGGATCACCCGCACGCGCGCATCACACATAATCACAATGACCGGCTCCCCAGTCTTGAACGTAAGTCTCCGTGGCTCGAGATTGGCTCTCAGACAGGTCGGGACTATTGCACAGCTCGGGATGTGCCCGAATCGAGCACCAGCGCATCCGACTCTCTCTCGCGTCTTTGCGGCCTCCCGTCGACGCATGCTTTGAGGAGCAACCCGGCCCATCCGATGACAAGGCCTTGTCCCGTGCAGACGAGCGTATACTGACAGGATCTTTGCATTCTTTTCACAACTCCTTGGTCTCCGCACACCCGAACCTCAACTGCTCTGCATGATCTCTGCACTTGGCCAACGTCTGCACGCTCTTTCGCACTGCAAACGCCGCTCTGGATCGCAACGACAGGTCGTCCGCTACTCGGCACTCGTCGGCGGCATCGGATACGGCATCCTACACCGCAGGACATTGCAAGCCAAGGCGGACGTCAAGGCGGCCCACGCCGAGTACAAGCACAAGGAGCAGCTCATCCAAAAGGCAAAGGAGGCGTACAAGAACCGCCTCGTCGCCAAGCAGAGCTCGTCGGGAGGTACGTACAAATCGCATGCTGCTCGTACCAGCGTCCTGTCATCGCCACGCAGGTCTTGTTCGTGTTGGAGGAACGGTCCAGATAAGGCGGTCGAGAGAGGAGGCCGGAAGCGGTGGAGGCCGGATGCACATATCCATGCGGGCTAGGAAGAGGCAGACGAGCAAAGCGGAGGTGGAGAGAATGTCGCAAACATTCCGTCCGGGCGAGGTTGCTGCTCAGTGAGCCGACGGGCGTCTCGCCCCTCGCCCCAAGGTCGCATGTCGCCAGCTCGAGCGGTGGCGAGTCTTCGTGGAAGCGTCTGGCGAACGCGAATCGGGCTGTGGCGTTCGTGCATTGTCACGGACATCTGACCGTGAAAGCACGGCGGAAGGAAGGATGCGGAAGGCGGTTGGACATACAAAGCACGTCTATGGCAACGGCAGGCAATCCGACGAGAGGCCCGCTGGTTGGATCGCGAGCAGCCCGCACAGTACGATACCCACGCGATCGAAGCTTATACTGACTCTGTTCCTGCATTTGTTCTTCCTCTCCTTGACGATTCTCTAGTCGAGACGGACCCCGAGAGCCCAGCATTCGACTTGGAAAAGTTCCTCCTCAAGGTCGAGCAGGAGAACTGAGGCGCTCGTCATGGTTGCGTTCCTTGGTTCCTTCTCGGTCTGCTCGGCCACGACACTTGGACAGGCTATGTCAGTGCTCGCACACTAGATCTACGGCAGCAATCCTAAAAATCTCGTTGGTTCATCCTGATTCTTGAGCGCGAGAATGTGACTTTGACGCAGGAGGATGTGGCCATTGATGGCAGCCAGAGGGGCAAAAAGAGAGGAGCAAAAGGAAACTGCAGCACCTGGGATTCCCGCGTGGT